AAATTTTAGCTTCTCAATGTTTTTTGTATGAATTCCATTGAAACAAATCAAGCAAGTGTAGAAATAAGATGTGAGTGGGGGTCATTTGAAATAAATTGTTACATGCCTTGGATTACTCTTGGAAAAAGCTTTATGGTTTTGTCATAACTAGATTCGATAGAAAATTACCTGGCGATTTTACTTGTCAATTTAAATCATGTTGTTTCCCATCAACAATATCGATTTAAAATTAGTAATTTATCTATTATCAGGCCATTATGGAGCGGCTAAGTATGAATCAGCCTCGTTCCCATGTGGTGATCACAGGCGGTGCTCGTATGTCATCACTTACAGCTGAGATTGAAGCAGGAGAAGTTTCAAATGTAAAATACTTGGCCTCCTGTTACAAAAGAGCCACTGAGGAGTGCAAGAAATGGAAGGTAAATTTTTCATATGACGTCGAAGCTTCCTACCTTATTTCTGATCAATGTATGAAAATATAAAAAGTATCTGTTCTTTTTGTCTTCTGTACTTTAGAAAAGGTACAACTATGTGATGTACAAGTTTAAATCCCCATTTAAAATAATTCTTTTTTTTTCTCTCTCTTTTACCATTTATTTAAAAATAATTAATTCCCTTTATTTGAACTCTAGTCACCTGCTAAGCTGAAAAAGAAAGACTCTAAGCTTTGGATTGAAGAGAAAGAAAAGGAGAAATAAATAAATTGTTCACCAAATAAATCCTGATCCTAGCTGTAGCATTTTGTAAGGTGAAATTCTTTTTGAATATTCCATTTGAAGGAAAAGGATGCGTCTCTTGTGGAAATTACAGACAGAGCAAGAACACTGGCGTTGTCTTATGCAGGGTAGGCACTTCATTTGCAAAATTAAATTTATTATATTGATTAAGGCTATTCTAACATGTCAGGTATTGGATATCTTGTTCTATATGGCTTTTGTCCAAAGTAAGTGTGCGGCTAAACCAAATAAAGTTTTAAACCTTTAACTCCCAAGATTATACTAGTAATTCTCCCTACTGGCTGCCATTCATTTCCTCCTAAACAAAACAGGAGAAATTGGTGCCATATCACGATAATGACCCTCTAATTGATGAGCTTATCTCTTCTCATTACCCATTTGCAGAATAATGTATTGGAATTGCAAGGAGAAGTAACATGTTGCTAATTTTTAGGTGCTAGACAGTTAATGTTATGTAAATACACACTTGCTAAAAAGGTAGTTTAAATTTTTGTTTTTTGTTATCTTTCCAAGGACTTGTTTATTGAGCCCAGAAATGTTTTCTAAAGCTGCCCCTCAGAAGCACTTGTTTCAACTACTATTGACCATGCAAGGTACAAACTTTTTGCATGTGATTA